ATGGTTTAGCAATTCAAGGTTCTTCCTCTCCAAGAACACATCAGAATTTGGTGATTGTATGTAGAAACACTGTTCAGTGTTGGTTGGGTTATCTCTACAATCAGTTATATGCTGAACCTGGACATTTAATCAGCCGGTGGGATTTGTGTCTACTTCTCATTCCTACTGTCCCAACCTAGTAGCCCTAAGATGTGACTTGGCAAGTACAAACACTTGGCAAGCCTTGAGACTCCCACTATATGCTTTTGACTTTGTTTGCACAGCTCCCTAAGGAGTAGAGCCTGGAAGCAGGGTTTCTAGTCCTTAGGCTGTGTGTCTGTCTTTCCTGTGTGTGATGGTGCCTTGGGAATAATGAGTATTTTGTTCCTGGGCAATAAGAAATCCTGTGAGAAGTAGGTAGTGTTCTATACAGCTTTGTCCTTTTTTGCTAAGCCTGTGAAATATTTTGCTCTGATACCACTTGACTTGAATAATATCTTATCCTGAGTCTTCCTCCATGGCAGGACATGTTTCTGCCAGTACTGTAGTAATCTTTTGGGAATTACATGTGGGTAAAATGTATATGTAAGCCATTATACTACTGTAACTAATGCATAGGAAGCAATTTTTCCCTTTACGTTTATAATCTAAAAGAGGCGATGTAGTGGGAAGTAACATATCTGAGAGGTTCTAGTAGAGCTTGTCAAGTTCAACCTGAGCCAGGCCACATGAGTCATTTCCACAAGGGCTCATTGCATAGTCCGTGTACCATGCTTTTAGTGGATGTTCAGAATTTCCTTTTATTGATTTTTCGTAGGCTGTGTTGTTTTAGAACAAAAATGCCCATGTGTAATTTTTTAAAGATGTGCTGGGAACAAATAAAACATTTCTAAAACCAATAATTGTTTCCAGAACTTCTTTATTTCCTCGTGATCTCATTTAAACATTGCCAGTAGCCTCCTCTCTCAGAAATAGTTCAGTGGTTACCAGCACCGGTTGCTCTTCCAGAGGACCCAGGTTTGATTCTCAGTACATGGGGCTCACAACTATCTTGAACTCCAGTTCCAGAAACCTGATGCCTTCTTCTGGCCCCCATGGACACTACATGCATGTGGTACACAGACATACATGAAGATAAAATACCTGTACACATAAAGGGGAACATACGGTGGAAAGCAGTTGAGGAAGACCCAACATCTATCTTGGAGTTCCATGCATGTAACCTGCACACCCACAAGTATACCTAGACATGTGAACATGTACACATTCTGTATATACATGCTAAAAAAAAAATCCTTAGAGAGACATGGACAATACTCACTCCGAAAAAGCAACCTCTAGCAGGCACATTGCTGCTTCTCTGGGGGGTGGGTCTTGTAGTTAGACCTGAACACCTGAGACTAAAAACATCAATGGCCACAGGCCGTCCAGACAGAAGCCAGAGTTATCTGGGAAGAGGGAACTTAAATGAGAAAGTGCCCTCAACCAGACTGGCCTGCGGTCAAATCAAAATGACGCATTTTTTTTTTTTTTAAGTTGATGACTGATGTGGGAGGGTTCTGTTTACTGTGGATGTTTCCACCCCTAGGCTGATGGTTCTGCATTCCCTAAGAGAGCAGGCTGAGCGGGCCATGGGAAGGAAGCAAGCCAGTAAGCAGCACTCTGTGATAGATAGCCTCTGCATCAGCTCCTGCTTCCAGGTTCCTGCCCTAACCTCCCTCAGGGAAGGACTGTGATGTGGAACTGTAAACTAGACCCTTTCCTCCCCAATTGCTTTCGGGTGTGTTTATTAGAGCAGTGGTAACCCTAGGATAGCATCCAGCCCACAGCCCTCATAAGCAAGGCCCCCTGTGGGGGGGTCACACCTATCATGACAGTTCGGTGAAGGTGTCTTTAAGCCAACTGTGTCACCCCGAATGCCGTCTCCCGTGCAGCAGCCGGGTCACTACAGATGAACTAGCTCTGTTCACCAGGGCTCCTGGTTTCTCATGGTCTGCCTTTGGGGAATGGGTGTGAGTTTGCCCATGTACACACAGCCTTCCCGATGGTATTAGTGCACCGTCCATGCTCTAGCAGAGACCACATTCAAAGTGAGGTCTCGAAGAATCCAAATCCTTTGACAGGTGTGTAGGCCTGGGTGTGCTGTGGGTGGGAGTAAGGACTGGGAAACTGTGTTAGCCTGGGCGGCCTTAAACTCACAGAGATCTGCATGCCTCTGCTTTCTGAGTGCTGGGGTTAAAGGTGTATTCTACCATGCTTACCCCCACCCCCTGACCCTATCTCTTTTTTTTTTTTTTTAAATCTCTTTTCTTCTTGGTTACTCATCTAAAGTTATGTTGGATTTCAAGACAAATAAACACCTTTTTGACAAGGTTCTGAAACTATCCCTGATCAACAACTTGCAACAACAGCAAGTTTCGAAGGTCACATCACCTTTGATGAGACCGACCACGATGCTGGTGGAGTTGCACCTTGGAAGAGCAATCATCTTATAAGAATCCTCTCCAAACCCGTTGTAGAATCAGAACAGAGAACAAGACCCACTGGCCTGAAACATCACCTGCTCTGTTTGTTGACACTCCAAGCTTCTTCATTAAAATCTCATCTTGTTATCCCCATGAGGATGAACTTGGGGTCACACGTTCCTTTCCTTGGTATTCTAGCTTGGCCATGCCAATTACATTTCTTTCTGCATTTTACCACTCTTGGGTTTATTAGCAAATTAGTAGCAAATTGTTGTGGCACCCATAGTTAGGGCTTGTGCCTTGAAATTCTGGTAGCATGCTCAATCTCTGTATGTGTATTTGGAGATCCAGGGCTATAATGAGAATCATTGCAGGGTCCTGGAAGGCTGAGGTACTGTCCCATGAAGTTCTGCTTTTATTTCTGTTGTGTATGCCCAAGGATCATGGGACAACGCTCTGTGCATTGTCAATCAAATAACAAAACACGAAGGAAGTGGCTGGCGTTGTAAAGTCATTTTAGAATTAAGAAACGGCAAGTTTCTTAGCACCACGTAAGCACCATGACACACACTTGTAAAAATTCTTTAAATATATATGCTAAAAATAAAATAGAGCAAATACTCCAGAGATATTAAGAATGCCACTCTCCCCAAGCTTTTCCAGGCCTCCTGGCTCCTAAGAATTTCCTGACAGCCATACTACCAGGAAATCCTAACTGCGCAGCTGCCAGGGGCTAAAAGCGTCTCTGAAAAGCTTTTTTATGTTCTAAAAATGAAGGCACACATACACACAAACCACAAACAGCACCTGCGTAAACAAGCTGTGGTTAAATAAAGGCAAATGGGGATCTGGAAAATGTTTACTTTTTAGTGGTTAATACTATTATTTGATACTTTTTTTTTTTTAAGAAAAGTGTTTAGTTAAGAGGAAATTTGGAAAATACAATTTCAGTTCATTTACTTTCCAGTTTTTAAGGGGCTACAGACATTGAGAGGTGCCCAGAGCCACCTTTCCACTAGCAGAAGTTATCAAAAAACATTAAATACAGAAGTTATCAAAGAACATTTCTGAGACACAGAATGTGCTGTGGGATGCCATTCTGGAGGCCACTAAACACTGATTCTCCTCCGATGTGGGATCAAGCTAACACTGCCAAATGATGGCAGCTCAGCTCACTACTGCAATTGCCTTAATCCCAAACCATGGACCGCACAGTAAACCAGCTTGTCTTTTCTAGTGGAATTTGAGCACCCAGGAGTTCACTCTGCTAAGGCATGATGAATCTGCATGCTGTACCTACATGGCTAAAATATCCCTAAAGGGGAAAAATCATCTTCACATTATGGCAGGGGCTGTCTGCCAACAAAGTGATTAGGTTAAACCTAAGAAACTGCTGAATTTGTAGTTAAGAAATTCAAAATCAGCAATTATCTATGGTTCAGCCTGATACTGTTGCTTTTTCTAAACCAGATGAAATTGGGGCTACATTTATGGAGAGACAGGGATGAAAGGCTGAAAAACAATTATTTTTTTTTTTTTGTAGGATTCAGAAAATAAGTTGATTAGAATGAGCAGGGATCTCTGGGAAGCCAGAACAACTAGTAGGAGTCATGAGTTGAAGCAAACAAGGAACCTATGAGCTTCCATTCCAGAACTGACTTTTTCATCAATTGTGGGAACAGAGGGGTTATTTTGGACAGGGTAATGATAATGAAAAGTTTTCTGTACCCCAGTCACTAAAACAAGGAAACCACAGCATACCCAAAATTGTGCAGCCAAAGGCTGTAATTAATAACGGAGTTTTCCCAGCCTACAGAATCAACTAAGCAGGCATCATAGGGGCTCACAGAGACCGGAGACAATCAGGGAGCCTGCATGGGTCTGTGACAGGTCCTCTGCAAATATGTTATAGTTGTTACTGTGGTGTTTTGTGAACAGGGGCTATCTCTGACTCTTCGGCCTGCTCTTGGGACGCTTTTCCGCCTATTGGGTCATCCAGCCTTGATATGAAGATATGTGCCTGGTCTTACTGTAACTCTTTTATTGCCATGTTCGGTTGATAGCGCTAGGAGGCCTGCTCTTTTCTGAAGGGAAATGAAGGAGTGAATCTGGGGGAGAAGGGAGGTGGGAGTGGGGAACTGGGAGGAGGAGAGAGAGGGGAAACTGATGTATTATATGAGAAAATAAAAAAATTACCTGAGTTCGCTGGTTACCTCTGATCCTAGTTATTGTGAGAGAAGAATGAAAATAAAGTATTTGAAAAAAACATCAACAGTATAACTTGTTCATAAATTCAAATCATTAGCTCATGGAAATAAACACCAAAGAATTTTTCTTTTATAATATTTATTTATTTTGTAGTATTCATTAGTGTTGTAGTTTGTTAAGTGAATCTACTGAATTTTGCACACTAGCAAAACCATTTATTACCTAAGGAATTTAATCTGGACAAAATAGTATATTAGAAAACTCTGACAAATACTCTAAAATCTCTTTAAGAAACATGGGAATTGTACAAAGAGAAAACACAATCCCTGGAGTGATTACACAAAAGACATTACCTACTCCTAAGCTTTGAACTTAGTGTCTGGTCCCCTGATAATATAAGTACAAATGCTGCCCAAGATACATCAAACCAAAAAGATGGAGGAAACATGATAGACACAACATCTTTTTCAGTTCTTATAAAATCTCATTTGCTGGGTAATCTAAAATGGCGGGTTATATCTAATAGTGCTTTTATTACATCAAAATATACAGTCTCACAAATAGCAAATACAAATAGCCAAAGCTAGATACAGATGAAACTGAAAATTTACATATAAAGTCATCATGATAAAAGTCATTTGCCAGTCATAATTACACATTCCATCCAATGATCTCATAAATCAGAGCCCTTAATTTTCTCGACTCATACGTGACTGTATTCTTCCCAATGTGCATTCTCTCTTCCTCCAAGGGCTGTTCTATAACAGCAGGGATGTTTCTGCCATAAAGTTCACACTGCTCTAGAAACTGGACACATTCTTGAATAACAGTGTCCCTCAGCATGATTGTATGCTTTGACATGTTTTCTAGCAAAGACAGGAAGCATCTTTTGGCATAATACCATGTATCAGTTCCCAGCTTTTTATGGTAAGGCTCCAGGCTTTTGATAACCCGAGAGATGCCAAAGTCATAGTTTCCCTTGGCACAATAAAGTGTTCCTATCACCAAATTCACAATGCAAAGGTGGTAGATTTTCTTGTCTGGGTCACCATAGGAGAGCTGTTCTTCCTCCTTTTCAATCTTCCTCATCAGCTCCTCGGCTTCCTCATTCTGACTTGTCATAATATAGGAGACACAGAGGTTGGCTAACACAATAGCGCTGACACTCAGGATGCTATCATAATTCTTCTTGACGATGGGCTCATAGAAACCAATGGCCTCTTTGTATTTGTTTTCCTGCATGAAGAGAACATGGGCCACATTCAACTTCCACACATCATGGTCATTACAGAATTCCACAGATTTGCGGAAGATCTTCTCTACCATTGGATAATTTTCAAAGTTCCAGTAGATTTTCGCCTGGGCCATCAGTACAGGGATATACTTCTCAAGAGTTTCATCATATTCATTCACAGCCTTTTTGGCAGATTCATCATCTCTGTTATGTCTTGCATCCTGTACTTGTATGGTGAGTCTCCTGAGCTGCTCAGTGAGCATGCCAGCCAGCCCATCAAGCTTTATGAAAGCCTCTTCAGGAGCTGTCTGGCAAGTGATCATGGCATCCAAGAAGTCATAGAGATAGGGTGTGAGGAACTTGTAAGTCAAATGGGCATTTTCTGCCAGGACATCAGCTGCCAGGTCAAAATACTCATATCTACAGTAGAGCAACAACAGGTTGCCAAAGGTCTCTGGGGGAAAGGGGTTCTGCTGGAGCAGAAACTGGAGTTTTTCAAAGCCCTCTGTGGGCCTGGCATCCATGTTCATCAGAGCCTGGTTGTGCAGGGTCACAGGGTCCAGCTCTTCCTCTGCTCTGGGTGGCATGTCAGTGAGGGCTTCCTGAGCTGCCTCATAGTTTCTCAGTTGGTACTCTATGGCTGCCTTGAGGTTGAAGGCTTCAACCAGAGCAGTCTGGTGAAGGACTATGGTGTTGCCCACACTTCGAACATCAATGCCTTCAGTGGTCATACCCACACCTAGCTCTGGGTGCTGACGGATGCCTCTCTCAATGATGTCAGCAATATGCTTCAGAGCTGGGGCATACTGCCGACTGCTGTAATATGCCAAAGCCAAGTTGTAGGAAAGGTCTGGCTGGTAGCCAGAAGCTTGCAGGGCCGCTAAGAACTTAGAACAGGCAGCTTCATAGTGTCCCTCTTTGTAGAGCAGACAACCCAGGTTGATCTGGCCATCATAATCATTCTCCCCTCCTCTGTCCTCCACACCTTCCCCACTCAGCAGCTGCTCCACCAGGCTCCTGGCTCCTGGCAGGTCGCCCTCGCTGTACTTGATAGCAGCCTGGAGACGAAGGACACGCGTCTGATAGGTGGGATTGTCCAGGAGGAAGGCGACCCGCGTGGCCTCTGGATACAGACAGGCCTTGTACAGCGCCTGGGCCTGGTAGAGGCGGTACTGCTCGAGTTCCGGGTGCATCTGGCTCAGTTGCTCATAGCACTCTGCAGCGAGCTCGAACTCCTGCAGGCGGTAGTAGCAGTAGGCCAGCAGCGACAGCCCGGCGCGGCTGCGGGGACTCTTCTGCAGCTCGGCGCCCAGCAGCTGCACCGCCTCTGAGTAGCGGGAGTCGCGGATGAGCCGGTACACCACCGCCGTGAACTCACCATCGGGGATCTGCGAACTGCTCAGCCCCGCCATATTCACCCAGAGTGTTGTGCATCCTCGTTTCCAAGGCAATGGGCCAACCGGAAACGGAAGCTGTTCAGAAACTACTTTGCAACGGAAATATCTTGTTATGAATAATAGTGACCCACCGGCGAGGTTTTATCAACTTCTTGCTTAGTTTTGAAACACTCTAGAGTGTGGAGTGTCAGTTGGGCCTGGACAGGAAAACTCCCTAGGCGTTTCAGACTGGGCCACTCCACGTCCCAGCATGCACCGGTTCCTTGATCGCGCTGCATCCTGGGAGATGTAGTTTCTTCTGTTTGATGTCTTTCAGGGATTGGGCGTCTCCGCCTTTTCTGTAGGATAGGGCACCTGTGCCTGTTTCTGTTGTTTTGTCTGCTTCCTTCTGGAGGTGAAGTAAAGTTTGCGGGTGAAGGGCCCTTGCGATGCCGAGAGTTAGCTGTTCCGTTTCGAGTTGCTTAGCGATAGGGACGCGATGGGAAAGTCGCGTCATCACTGGAGTTCAGGAATTCTTGTATGTTCCCGCCAGCTGCTCCGAAGCCCTCTTTTTGAGAACGTCATCAAGCATGGGCCGGCGGTCCGCGTTTAGTTCATTTCGAGTGGTTCATGGGTCTGAACTGTAACTGGTTCTGCTTTAGAGTTAGGATTTCCTCAACCCCTTTTTCTTAGATGACAACTGTTATGAACCTAAATTGTTGCTTGGATTGATGAAACGTGGCTTTGGTCTTTTCCTTCTCCAAGGAAAAACTACAAAACTAACCTTTCCCCTCTCCTCTGTTTTACTTTTCTAATCCTCTGAAGTTTAGAATTTGGAATCTAAACTCTACCAAACACTATGGTGTGTTTGTCAGAGACATAATCAGTCTCTCTTTCTCAAGCTTGTAATTGTGCTTTCAGGTATGATTGAGCTGGTTAAAATTTGGATTAAAAAAAAAAAAAAAGGAACGCATTGCCAACTCCTTTCCAGACTTTTAATTTGAAGATCTCTAGGCAGAAATCATTCTCTTTTTTTATTTTCCCATCTATTTTGAATGGGTCTCTATGTTCTGTGTTATCATTTTTGGGAGGTTATTCTGTATAAATTCAAATTTATACTAGTATAATAGGGCAGTGAAAAACTATGGACTTATAAAATTATATTGAATCACTATTGAAAGCCATATCCAAAGATTTGACTAATCCTAATATGTGGGAGCTATAAATAGAATGTTTAGTTAAATATTAGAGAAGTAAATAAGGTAGAAGAATATAAAACTCTTCTATCCAAATGAGGTAGTGACAATTTGTATGATTTTTCAATAATAAAGCCATAATTTATGAGCAGTTCATCTGCAGCAGCTCTGCTAGGCACCTGGGAAGGTGTTACTCCTCACAGGCTTCCAGGATCTCTACTGGCCTGGCTACCACCCAAGACAAACAGACCAAAGGAACGCATGTCTTTGCTTTGTGGTCAAAGGTATTTATTGATCATCTCTTTAGTAGAATTGCTGCCCATTCATCTTTCCTGCAGTCATGTTTTGGAGCCAACACCAACCGTATTTCATGACACTCTCTTAGGCTTCTCACAAACTAATCATAACTTTCCTGAAATCTGTGTATTGCAGATGATGGAAGACTCTGTGGCTCAGAACAGTTAAAGTAACCTGTCCAAATCCACATAGATAAATAGAAAGGGGGTGAGCCATGTTATCTTAAAAGCTAAGCTCAGAGGGAAATAGTGACTAGTAGTTAACCTACTTATCATGTATGGACCCATATTTTAGGGAATGTTAGTAACTTGTGTAACGAGTCTCTCTCTGTCCCACCAGCTAACTTTCACATAATGACATGGAGACTTATTAATTATGAAAGCTTGACCTTAGCTTGGGCTTGTCCCACCAGCTCTTATGACTTAAATTAACCCATATTTTTTATTAATCTATGTGCTGCCATGTGACTTGTGGCTTTTATCCCTCCTCCTACATGTCCTGCTTCCTTTGGGTCTGGCTGTCAACTACACCTTCCTTCTTTCCTGATACCTCTCTGTCCCCAGAAGGACCTCCTAACCTCTTCCTGCCTAGCTATTGGCCATTCAGTTTTTTATAAAACCCATCACAGTGACACATCTTCACACAGTGTAAAGGAATATTCCACAACAATATTGCTTTTAAAATTTGTATCTGATTTAAAAAAAAGTATGATTGAATAGTAGAAATCTGAACTTTCTGGCTTGAGTTACAGCAATGAGAAGGTGTTTATGAAGTAATTACTGGGATGTAACATAGTTTCCAGATACCTGTTACATCTAGAAAAAGTAGACATTTAAATACTCCAGTAGATATTTAAATGTTACACTAGAAAGAGGACCATTTCTCAGATATTCTGCTTGATAGAACTGGACAAGAAAATTTTGCTTGAGTACTGAGGAAGTGAGAGATCATACCTCACACCAGAAGGATTAAATGTAGCTCTGGACCAACAGAGGAAGATACTAGGGAAAGCAATTATAACTAAGCCAAGACTTTTACTAACCCAGGCCCAAGCTGGAGCCCTTTACAGTCTTCAGTGCCGGATTGAGAGACTGAGGGATGCTGTATCATACTGCTCAACAGCCAGGGACTAGGAGGTCTCCCTCGTGCTGGAGTGGTTGACTCCTGCTCTTCGAAAACAATATCCAGAAGACTCCAGGTTTTAAAATCCTTACACATTGAGCTATTACTCAGGATAAGCTGCTGTTAAATAAAAGTAAGATAGAAGAACAGGGATGGGGGCAAGAAATTGCCCTTCACATCTTTAGTTTTTCTTTTTGCCAAACTATGTTTACACTGTGAAAAAATTCACGTTCAAACGACTTCTTAAAATACACAGAAAAGAGCCGGGCGGTGGTGGCGCACGCCTTTAATCCCAGCACTTGGGAGGCAGAGCCAGGCGGATCTCTGTGAGTTCGAGGCCAGCCTGGGCTACCAAGTGAGTTCCAGGAAAGGCGCAAAGCTACACAGAGAAACCCTGTCTCGAAAAAAAAAAAATACACAGAAAAGAAAGAAATGAAAAGACTCTCTGCTCTCCCCTAGTTTTCTTGGCTGCCTACAGGAACCATCTAGAGCAGTGGTTCTCACCCCTTTGGGGTTGCATATCAGATATCCTGCATATCAAATATTTACATTATGATTCACAGCAATAGCAAAATTACTGTTATGAAATAGAAACAAAAATAGTTTTACAATTGGGGGTCAGCACAACATGAGGAACTGTATTAAAGGTTACAGCATGAGGAAGGTGGAGGAGTACTCTATTAGAGTTATCTTTGTCTTGGTGCCTGTCTGTGAGCATGGTAACTGAAATGTGTGTGGGTGGGTGGGTGGCTTCTGTGTCCTCCTCCTGATTTGATGGGAAGATGCTCTAGTGGCCAGGATTGAGAAGAGACAGGCATTTGGTTTAGACAGATTGGGAGCCAGGTCATCTTCAAAATGCTGTGGGTGCACGAGTCTCCCGTGAAGCTGGCTTTACTGTCAGCATGGCTGTGACACGCTCGCTTCTTTTTGGCCTCCGGTAGGCAGCTGGGGAATAGATTAGTTTGTCTAGGAGTTTTCTAGGGGTGGTGAAAGGAGGTCCTGTAACGACAGAAATTCTAGAAAGCAATAAACTAGGCGGGATATTAAGAAATATCACAAAGGATCATTTTGTTTACAATGGAATTTTGAAAAGGTGAATGTGTAATAGCATTCCCAGCAATGAGAAAGCATGTGGTGTTTGCAATAAAATGATTTAGTACCTTATTGAAAGGAATTAGGCTTCCAGGAAATGGCTTGGGGCTCAAGGTGAATTTTGCTGAATTTCATGCAGAAGAATTTCAGACAGGCTGTAGGTAGAGGGGGGAATGATATTTAGTTCTTGAAGTACTAATGTTTCTGACTGCCAAAACACACGATTAATCCTGTGTGCATTGTATTTGGCAATCACCTTTATAACCACTCACAAATGGTTACTTCTTTGTTTTGTAAAACCAGTAACTTAGTGATGGGAACAATGTTTATTAGTATTTTAACCATATCTGTGCTGAAGCATCATCTCTGATACAAGAGCATTTTTTGCAAACATTTTCTAGTTGTTTCTTTCTCCTGTTCACTCCAGACTTCCTTTTCTTCAGGATGGCAAATTTGTCCCTACTTTCTCTGGAATCCTGGTTGACTTTTACCCTGAGCATCCACTAATGATGCTGGGACTGACTTTTCCTTAATGTCACACCTCCAGTTCTCCAAGTAGGGAAATAAAATGCCCCCAAGGAGCAATGCAGCCCTGTGGTGGTGTTTATGGCCGATTTGACAGGATCTGTAACCTAAGAGACAAGCCTTAGAGATTAGGTGCACCTAAGGTCTTTGCCTGTGAGGGACTTATATTGAGTTCATTGACCAGGAAGACTCACCCTAAACGTATCACCATTCCTTGGACTCACATACCAAAGAGGAAGCTAGCTGAGCACAGTGAGTGGCCAGTTGTTTCCAGTTCCTGATGCCTTGCCTCTTCCACCACAATGGACTGTACCCTTGAATTATGACACAAAAGAAATCCCTCCCCATGTTACCTTTGTCGGAGTATTTTGCCACAGCGATGGGAAAAGCATTTAAGACAAGCCTCCATCACAAACAGATGAAGAGATACTGCAGAAAGGGTGGCCTATCAGGAGAAAGTGAGGTGGGCAATCTGAAAATGAGGTTCATTTCAGGGTTATAGTAAAAAAAAAATCAGTTTATATTTACGGAAAACTAATGCTGATGAAGTTAGGAGTCATTTGAATTTTTTTTTTTTTAGTTGCAATTTTTGTTTGGTTTTGAAGAAGGGTGCTGATTCAAGCCAAGGTTAGCAGATACCTGCCTCACAACTCATTAAACTGGTACAGTGCAATGCACAGCGGACCCACCTGCTTTTTTTGGGGGTAAATTATCTGGAGACTGAATTAAGTTCTGAGAACATAAGCCAATAAACCAAAGCAATAAATTCAGCTTTAATAAAAATGAAGCAGGTTCCCCACGTCTCACTTTAAGCTAGAGCTTTATTAAGTGGACTTATATTACATGTATTTTATTAAGCACATTTGTAATAACTTCTTTTTGAATTGACATGCATTTCCTATTGTTTCACCCTGCCGCTGTGGAGGACTTAGATCCCTCTTAAAAACAGTTGAAAAGCGTGGTTGTGAATGCCAGGCCGTAGACAGCTAGGTAAAGGCTCCAACTTGGTTAACTTGGCTGGTTTAGCTGAGAACTGTGGCCCTTTTGGGTAAAGGTCCCTAAACAGTGTTTTAGTCTTCTGACTCTGCTGGTGGAGAGTGAGGACAGGGAGCTACTCACATGCCTGCCTGGTGATGGATTGTTCTGAAAGCTTAGAGATCTAGCTGTCAAATTCCTTTAGCAACGAAGTAAAATAACTAGGGTTTTTTTTCTAATCTAATTTTTTATTTTATTTTATTAAATGTGTGTGGGTGTTTTGCCTGCATGTTTTCGAGTCTTGCTTGCACCATGTATATAGCTGGTGCCCTGG